ACCGAAACCGAAACCGGAAGTCGGGGGTGTACAAAGTTGGGTCAAGGTCAGTTAGGGGGGTGTACAACCGGAATACTCTTCCCTGTCCAGGGCCCGTGGTGACTCGTCCGTGGTACCTGCAATAGGGGAATAGAGGGAGGGAGAGGCACACATAATGTCATATGATAGACATACAATCAGGTACAGTCGGGTTTCAACTGCGTTACAGCGTGACAGGTCAGATTGCGCGGTTTCGTCCGTTTAAATCAAGGCTCAGCAGGGGCTATCTGGCAGGCACGATACATGGGTAATACAAGATAATCAGTCGTCCTTGGCGTCAGGTCGGTGTGGTTGGTAGCGCGTTCGCCTGCCGTCAAAAATAGGTGCAATCGACGCAAACTTGCAGGCAATGACAGGCGGGCAACAAAATATTGACATCACTTACTGAGGGATAAGCAAACCTTAATAGGAACAAAACAGGGGAGAACGAGCAGCAAGAAAACGAAACGGTGTCATGATAAACAGGTGTAAGTCATGTTACTCTTGAAAACAAGGAAAGTTTCCCTTGTCCATCGTTGATTCACAGGGGGAATCAACAAACATGATGTTACAATGGGGACAGTACATTTTAGCTGTGTGCAAACGGTTGGGTACTTCAACCTCTTCTTTCATACCAGGATCATCTACCATTCTTGTTCGTTGTGCTATGAAAGGCATCACCTTTTCTCTGTACCATTTCCCTCAGAAACTACCTAGTTAGCATTAACTAGCTGCATGGAAGTCATGGAGGTCGTTGTGTCAGATTTTAGTGGAGGTTTATGAAACTGCTCCACTAATACGGTTCAGCGTGCGATCGCTAGCCTTTCATATGTTCCGGCATCAAGTCCCGTCACTCTGTCAGGGAGATGCACTGCCGATGAGCCCGACTCGAGTCCGGCGCTTCCCCTGATGAGTGTAGACTAACTGTGCCAAGACAAGAGGAATCCAACCACTTTTCTAAGCTCATCATAGTGACAGTCAACTTGCTGGTTTGAGCTTTTGGATGAATTCACTTTTAGGCTGATATTCACTAGACGAAACTGCCAAGGAAATCCTTAATGAATGCCACTTTACAACCGACCGCACATCTTTTACTGTCCGTAGGTTGGTGCGCGCTGTGAAGCCATGGAGATTGGCGATAATAACGTGTTTGAAGCAAAAAGTTGTGTTGGCCCGCACATGCGGATCACAAACGGTTGCGTTATCGGTGCCATGTGCTCCTTGATGTCGGATGAAACGCTTCCCGAATGTACAGTGATCTATGGTGAGCAGGTGAGTTTCCGGTACTGCTGTTGTGGTCACGGAACTCTTGTCCAAATTGTTGATTTGCTGTTCAGCCAACTAGTGTATGTACATCAACACGCACTGTGATGAGGCGATGTGAGACCGCCAAGAGAATATTCACATACCGAGCCAGTCCCCGTTAAACCCTTCCCCGGTTGCCCCTCAACCAAGAGTCTTCGAATTTGGAGAATAGATTGCTCCGCCCACGAGATACAGTTGCCTAACCAGATTAAAATCCTTCTCAGAACGCAAAATGTGGTCTGCCTAAACACCAAATTTCACGCAATTTGCGAAACGCACTCATTTCCGTAGTAAGTTGGGACATTCGACTGAATCGTTCGCAGAATGTTTTCTTGACACAGGACACTGCTCATAAGGCTTTCCTGAAGCCTATATCAGCCCGAGAAAATACACTGCAATGTGTCGTATAAATTACCTGCTTAAACATGACTTGGCTTGTGTGCAGGGTACTCAGTTTTAATGAGATCCAAGTGAGTCTCCTGTTAAGAGCATTTCGATAGAGAGAGTATTTCGATATTTGTCAGATGTTTAGATTGACCCTTTCCGATGACTTTTTGAATGAATCTAAGCTCTTTGGAAGGATACTGTGCCCGAAACTCGTACTTATTAGCGTATACGTGTTCGTGCACGCCTTTAGGTCTGTTCATTCGGGGGCCACTTATACAGGTTGAACAAACATGCTTACCGTTGTTTATGCCCTGGGCTTGTGTATCGATTAGCCCACTTTCTGTCAGCTTGCACTAGGCCACATGACAAGCGTCACTGTAATCGCAACAAATTCGTCGGCAGTTCAGCCGTCCTCGCTTGTCTGCAGTCCAGTTATATGAGGTCAGCACAGGTCGAGGACGCAGTCAACAGTGAAACCGAACATCGAAGTTGTTTAGCTTATGGAAGGCCCCTACCAAAGCGAATTTCCAACCATCCAAACAAGGCACAGAGTAATCCGAAGCTAAAGCGAAAGAGAATGCCAATGGAATGATGTCTCGAGTGAAATGAAGATTTTACATTCATGTTAGTGCGTCTACGGTGGAGTCAGCAAACATGTTTACTAATGTTTCCTGAGTCCCCAATTAATTAAGAGAGAGCACAAAGTATAGCGTAGAAACTCGGACAGAAGGCTCAAACTAAAGGGATTGAAGGTTGTTCAAACTCGAAAAAAAGAAACGTTACTACTGTTTTCGGTTGGGCTGCCACTCAGCTCACATATCCACGACTTAACCAGCAGTCTGATTTTTGCGTACTGAGCAAGAATGCAAAGGATATATCCTAAGGGGCGAAATCAGATTGCTTTGACGTATACTCCCGAAGCAAAGCTTTTTATTGAGTGGGGATAAGCAAAATCCGGTGCAGATATTTTACCCAGAGTCCCAGCAGCACTTGTTACAAAGATGCCATTTATAGACTTTCGAGTGTGCCAGCCAGATGTTTTGGGAAATTTCCTGTTTCCTAAATTTGACTACCGTAGGTTGGGAGGTGAATAAGCTACCAAGAAAAGATGTTATATTTTACACAGTTTAGATGAACTCACGAAATCCTCCACAAGGTTACGCTGGGAAAGCCCTACCGGGACGGGAAGAATGGAGCCAAAAGGCTTCACTCTGATTGGCCGATATTCTGGACCTTTTGCCGGACTAAATCAAACTGTCCTAATCTTTTCCCATAAAAGAAAATAAACTTCTTTCGGTACACGTCCGCATATCCCAACGGCGGTAAACGTAGATGTTTTGAGAAGGATCAAGAAAGATTTTGTGCTATAAGTGAAGTCAAGCTAAATCAATTTGACACCCTTGGTTCAGATATTACTTATGAGAAATCCACCTCATCCTATCGTAAGTGGTAGGCAGAAATTCATGAAAATCGCAGCCTGGCGTTTTCAGATTTTCTATATTACTCCTAGATTCCTTTTTGAATAGAATAACCTTGCCCGGGTTATATCTAAGATATGGACCCCTTACTCGGCCCAGGTGAATTATTTTGTCCGGAAATCCGTCCTTGGGACTTTGGAAAATCACGCAGCCGTTTCGTGTGTGTTACTTTTGTTAAACGTGTGTACTCTTTTGGCAGTGGTCACCTGACTGATCCGTCAATATCCAAAATGAGTTCCTCCGAACAGAGTTGCACATTGCATACAGAATCAGACTGGTTTAAGGTTTTGAATTTGAAATTGCAACAATACTAAAAGACAAACATTATTTCAACACAATAAGTCAATTAAATAAATGCGAGGTCTGTTTCTCGGAACCCTCCCCCTGTTCACAGTGTTCTTGTGTTAGGTCTACCGGATAATCAAGAAATGTTTCTTTTGCTTCGTTTATCAGGGTCAGCGTCGAGTAGCGAGTGAGCGGCCACCTGCTCAGACTCTTCAGTTGGACTTTTTGACGAAAATGCTTCCCAATTATCATCACTTAATGAAGGCCAGCCGATCCACTGCGGCAAACAGCACCTTGACATCTCCGAGCATAACACGAACCCAGGCTTCGTGAAAGAGCAGTTTGTTTCGAACGGGCTGATTACATCGTCTTTTCTTTTCTCTCTTGGTTTGGAACTTTTGTTATCAACGCGTACGGGATTTTTGGAATTAAGACAATCTTTTTTTATTCATACTAATAAATATAACTTCACTTCAGTCGTTTACTTCATTGTTATTTTCTGAATGATGATGTTTGACTGAATTGGTTTGAAGTCTGTACCGAATTTTAAATCATGTGCCAGTTTATTCTCTGCACTAGTGCATTGGAGTCAATTATTCAGAATCACATAAGCTCGGAATCATTCGAAATGTTGAGAATGGCTGAACAGTCAGTTGTTCAGGTCTGTCCATCCGACTTCCCTATTCATTCATTCGAAGGGCGTGTGCTTCTTATTGGTTCCATGTAAGCTATACGTATAAGGGACTTCAAATCTAGCTGATGAGGTTAGTATTTATCGGTGCAGACATATTTTTGCCGGAATATAATATATCCGCATAATGGAATATTCATACAAGTTAGCCAGTGACTTGATCTGGTATTCATTAATAAAAGAAATCCACCTCTGGTGGGTGACCTTTCAATACATACTTGCCATGTGATTTGGAGCAGGCATTTTTTGTCACTTCACAATGCGAAGCTTGTGTCAGATAACTGCGGGCAACAGAGAAATAAACGAAAGACTGGGAACTGTTTTTGTTGTGTGTGCAAATTTGGTCATTTGGTTGGTCTATACTTTAGTTTGGGGATTACAGTTAAACATTGTTCTGTCTTCTAGCGTTTCTGGCCCTAAGTAGTCAGCGTCTCGGCCTCCAACTGCGAATTGAGGGAAGTCGATCTCATTCAAGACTGCCATGAACACTTTTGTCTCATTTCAATACCCCATCAACCCCTCCTACCATGAATTATTATTGATCAGTATTTAAAGGTCGCGCACATGTAGAATGTCCCTGACGACCTTGGCCGGTCGCTTTAAACAGACTTATTTGGACTTGGAGCATTCCAGAGAGCAGTGCATGAAAGCAGTAAAGCGTTAACGTCGCCCTTAGAGACACTCAGTTTTTGCCTATCGATTTCTCGAAAAAGTCAAGTTTCACGGGCATACATTAGGATTGTTAAACGATTGCACGATAAACGCGTCCGTTTGCTGACGGCTTCACAGTGATACCGAAGATGCTTCGGATTGACGCTCACACTGCAATTCCTCCATCAGTAATAGCGCAACCTTCGAAGCGTACAACTGTACTTACCACGCCTAGCCCATTTCTGTGTGACAGCCCTCTGGAGGTGCTACGTTTCACAGATGAGGACCAAACCAAGCGGTGCAGCCTCGGTCATCCGTCGGTTTCGAAAGTGTTTGGCGAGATGGCCCAAGTGGTTAGGGCGCGAATTTACTGATCGGAAGGTCCGTGGTTCGAACCCGACCGCTGCCTCTCAACTCCCCTGTCTAGGCTTGGGCAACCTGGCAGTATCCCAGCCCTCGTGCAACCTTCAGGTGGCATGGCATTTAGGCACCGAAAGGGTGCTACAGCTGAACGATAAACCGTTTGCGCTAAGGCCCTCTTGCCTTCCACTTTTTGTGCTCGACTGATGTTGAACTTTATCCAGGTTTATACGATCCTTCTAAACATTGGGTTGATGGGGCCCAGCTGAATCATTCTTCAAAATGTTCACCCCATCCTTCAAGGTGGCGTTTCTGTTTCATTTCCGGAAATCACTCCATCAGCACTCGCTGTTATAGAACCGGTTGATCGTATTAGCTGGAACAGGGTGCGACTGTATCCCCTTGCAAAAGCTTTCCCAGGTTTTCGCTGTCCACCAGCTATCCCTGGCGATTCTCATGCTCTTCATTATTTGGTGTTTGAGGGACCTGTACGTGCTATCTTAGTGGTTTGCTCCTGGTATTGTTTTTTTCGACAATTAGAGCTACTGATCGTGATGATACCGTTTTCATTAGATTATGCGATTAACCTCGGGGAGATGATTTTCAAAGTCCTCAAGCATGACTTCTTTCACCTTTTTACAGTCGTCATCACCACTGTTTTTACTATGTCCGTCTCTCTCGAAGCTTCTCAGTCAACTCACCTCCATAGTGTTGGGCTATAGGGACGTTTTTCAGGTGATTAACTCAATGATATCGCTTCAACCAGTGTGTTCCAGAGGGAACTTTTGTCACAATAAGGCTGTGGGCAAAATCAAGTGATATACTTCAGGATTTGGATCGTCGTTTCTTGCCAAATTATGTAAGATGGACACTGAGAGATGACAATAGCCTGAAGTACGTGATCAAAACATCCACTGAGACCAAATATGATGGGTTACGCCATATTTTTTCGGTCATTACACTAATCTGCCGCCGTCACAATCCTGCTCGCTATAATAAGAAAAATCTCGTTTTAGGCATGAACTGATATGACAGATTTTGATAGAATGCTTTCTAAAACGTGGATCCTCGTGGACATGGGTGTTTTTTTTACCGACGACATCCCCAATTTTATCCAGCTTTTCCTCGAAGGTGCATTTTATCCTTTCCACATCAACATATAGCCTGCACGGCATCTGGGGGCATACAGAAAATGACGGTGCTCTGCCGCTTTCACGAGTGTTGGACTCTGAAATCCGCCGGAGTTTATTCAGGCTCTCACCGTTATTGGCCTTGTCCGATAGGTAGCGGGTAAAGCATCAGCTCTCTATGCCTTCTTTTTTCCTCTGTTAATAGCAAACAAAACCTCTCCAGCGATAAATAAGTGGTAGCATTTCTCACGGGAACTTTTCAGAGTTAGCTGCAAATGTTGACCATGCTCGTTTCTGGCCATACTGAGGTTTTTTCGACGAACCAGTCTTCACTCTGTTCTCAATGCTTTTCAGGGTATCTCTCAAATATTGCCCACTTGAGAAACTGTCATCCGCAATGAACGAAACACTACTTCCAGGAGAGAGTGGTAGTGTTGCCGAAGTGTTGGGCTCTTCGGGAGGAATCGGACATTCAAGCTCGACTGAGCCGACAGATGCAGCTACCGCAACCGCTCTAACAGCGGCTTTCCACTTTACTGGTACTTCAGCCTCTGCGAATGGTGCGACCATGCAAGAATACTTCATTCAGGTAGGTTGCCTAACAAGCCCCACAATACTGTGGCTTCTGTGCGAATGTAATGTTTTCAAGAACTATGACACAACCTCTCGGTGGTTAGCAATAACAGTTTTTTCTACCATTTCGGTTGGAACTAATCAGGACTTCAGCAAGGACTTTGCATATTTTACAAAGAAGGGCATTCGAGTAAGCTCATATGAGGACCTCTTCGGTACGTATCGAAACACGCATATTCCCGTAATCACGCTTGAATGGTGAATGGAGATTCTCACCAGTATAGAATCTATGAAAACAGTTTAGTAGCTTTATTATCAGCCTTCTTTGAGTCTCACGTTACAACTGTGCTCATTTGTCACAGAGTGTATTGTTGCACGTCTGAGGTGAAGTTTTTCTATGTTAAAAGGCAAAAGTGGGAAGAATGTCAGCGTCGACAGAAATTTATAATTCATTCTCTATAACACCAAACTGCTATCCACCTCGCTGGTGGGAGCAGTTCACTTGCAATCGTTCCCCCTGTAACATCCCACTAATGAGCTCCTCCTCATAAGGGCCTTGTTCAGTTCTACAAAATTTGTATTGAAAGAGAGGGAAAATGTTCTCAGAAGGGTCAACCAAACATGAGCTGCAGTTCAGTCAAGCCAAACGGGTTACGTAAACGGTGAGAGTTGGTCACTGCCTGACCAGCGTGGTTTTCCATCGTGCACTGGTACGCTGCTGCTTTTCATTGGGCTTTTCTGGTCTACGCAAGGCGCGCACACCTCTCTCAGCCACTGACAAGCTGGTTGATTCAGAAGACGAACGAAAATATCAGAACCGGCTCCTCGAACGCTTGCCGGACGGTTTGATGTCGTATATAAACGGCCACTTGGAACAGATATGCACGGTGTTACTCAGAGCCGGAACTTCCGTTTGCGGTACAACCCACCTATCCACATGAAAACATTGGATTTCTGATAGGGCCATGCTGGCGGCCCGGCATCACTGATTCTTCGTCATCTTACGGCGACACGCGAATCATAGACCCGTGAGCATCAATAGCGATTTGGATAGGCTGGAGGATGCGTCAACCACATCTTCACACTCCGTCAGATATTAGACCAACGCCCGTGTGTACAGATGACCTACAATCTCAATGTTCCTTTACTTCATGGTTACGTTCGATTCTGTCGATCGACCGGTGCTTTTAACCACTTTTACTTAACAGGGTATCCCCCAATTGTCTGAGCATAATCTTGTCCCTATATTCACATACTTGTGGGCATGTGAGGGTATGTTGAGTTCTCCAAGAGCTTCCCTGCAAAAGCGGAGTACGACAAGAATGTCCACCCAACCCGCTCTTGTTCTGCTTCGTCATTAATCGAATAAGGAGAAAAAGGCTGAGAGATCTTCAGAACTCCGGTGTCCAGATTAGTGCTGGTAAGAACCCTGTCAATCTGGAATGCGCGGATGACGTCATCGTTTTTGAAGACCAAGGTGAAGCACAAGCCCTGTTGAATAAACTGACCACCGTCATACCATCTTTCAGCATTCGCCTTGTACCCTCAATGCAAAGTAATGCTTCAGAATGTGCAATCTCTGAACAGACCCTTACAATTCAAGGAGAATCACCGGAGGTTGTGGAGAACTTTGCTTGCCTCGGTAGTTGTATTAGCTCTGACGGAATTGTGTCTGATGAAGTCATTGCACGAATTTCAAGGGCCTGGATCACGTTTGCTGATTGGCGTCACTTGTGGCTTCGAAAAGACATATCACTAGATCTTAAATGTCGCATGTACCATGCCACGGTAATGGCTGTACTGTTGTATGTTTGCGAACAGATGATGTGAGGCGTCTTCAGGTTTCTGACCCCTGACGTCCCAAAGGTGTTGATAGTGTCAGTCGGCGTCATCGATTTCGTAAGGAGGTAATCGGAAAACGGGTGTTTGGTTATACATCAGGTACTTGAATCGCGAAAGCATCCAGCAACATCAACTGCGGTGCCTTGACCATGTCCTTTGCAAGCCAAAACACCGCCTACCGAAACTAGTGATGTTCTGTGTACCATTTTCAGAATGGTGCAAAGTGCAAGCTGGACAGCGTGCGATTTGGCAGAACGGTGTGCGGTTCGCCTTCCAGGATAGGGTCCCCGTGATCCCTCATGCGCTTGGCCGGAGACATTACAGGAAAGAACGGCGGCTAATCGATGTCAGTGACTGTCAGTTTCTTTCCAGATTGTCTGACTGAGCTCTTGAAGGTGTAGATACCTCCGAGTGCTTGCGATAGGCCAGAAACAGGTCCCCTCTCTCATCCACTCTTTTTTCATCTTTTCACTCTAAAGCTTTATGGTTGTGCGGCAGATGAGCATCAACATAAACACTGATGTTGTTGTCTTTGATGATGACAATGATGATGGTTATCATGGAATAACTTGTGTTGAACACATTGTGGAATCAACTCAAACAAGCCTCTGTCGTTTTGCTCTTTTGATCGCTGTTTGACCAACTGGCATAAAAGCTAAGAGAGTACCGTATTTATTCTCGCTGATGAACTTCTGCCGGTAGAAGCTGGAATTCTTAAACTAGTGGCTCTTGGTCCTGTACGTTTTGCGGGAAAATGATATTGGATTCGCAAGAGTGGATAGAAAGCTGGTTACGATCGAATAAATGACTGAAACACCATGAGCAGAGAACAGCACGCTGAGTACTCAGTTCGTAAAGAAAACTGTTTCCTTTAGAAGGCTCGGGTCTAGAAAATAATCATCGTGGGCGTTCGCCAGGACCGGGTTTTTGAAGGGTGGTAGCTGTAACACCTGACGGCCCTTCCAGGGCCATTTACATGCAGTTGCCAGCTGTCTGAAGTCAAGCTTGTGGGATAAAAAGGTTGTTCCAGCAAAGCGAACGTTTCCCTACAAAATGCACGGGATGGGATCGACTCTCAGTCTTTGTTAATGAGAAATAAACAGTTCCGAAGGTTTATATTTGTAATGTACTACTCATAAGGTTGCTGAAAATCCATCCAGATGAGTGTATATTCGCTAGTTCCGAAGGTTGTTTTTTGTGTGGATGTTCTCCATATTTACCGCAGGTTTTTTTACCTTCGATTTGAGTAAGGAATCTATGTAGTGATTTGTGGGTTGGGGATACATTTACTGAGTATATTAAGTCTGATTTGTTACATCCAACCAAGTTATTTGTTTGGCATTAAAGTTAGGCTGTTTGAAATAGATTTCGGAAGATTAAACTACAATAAATCATCTCATGATGGACATATTCAAGGAAAGGCTACTCTATTTGATAGCCACAATAGCATTACTCGTTATGCGTAACCTAGCACGCAAGTCCCAGTGAAGAGAGACCGACCCCAGGAGAGGCCAAAACTCCCATTCCTCTTGTTGGGCGCTACATATGTTGACGCCAAAAGAATAGCCTGTGTTCCTGAACAGCTGAGGAGGTTCGGTACAGCCCAATTTGTGTAGTGTTGACTTGCTAGGTCAGTGGTACGCAGGGTCCTTTCGGATTTTCAAACACCAGTGTGTCACTAGTAGACGTAAAGGAACATGCACAGCTCGTCGAGACATCCATCAGTGAATCACCTTCGGACTAAGTGAGTTGTAGTTGATAGAATTACTTCGTCCTTCTGCACGCTATTTTATTGATGTTGACGAAGCCATGACCATTTGCTGTGCACCAGTGTCCGATTTCCGCATTTCTGTTTTTTCCTAGTCCGTTGTATCCTCCCCACAGCAACACGAACTTCTGGTTACCCGGTTGAGAGGTCTTAGTCGTGAGTGGAGTGAATTTTGTGATCAGGAGATTTCTTTCCAACTTGGGAGTGAGGATCGTGGTGATTCTGCAAGCGTTCCGCGCTCGATATCGGGCAGTACAACTTCTGCAGGTGTTTTGTCCACAGTGGCCCCGGCAGCTACCAGTTCCATGGTGAATGTACGACTTCGCAGAAGCCTTCTTCCCGCAATGCAGTTCCCTGATCGTAGACTTTCAGCTTTGCGATATTTGGGAGCCGTGGAGACGGATAGGACGGTGAGTTTGCGTTTATTCTTCTCGCAGTAGATCACTGCTTTGTTGATTAATCGTTACACAATCCTTTGATGTTTTGCGTCAAGTTCACCTTTATTTAGTTTCACATTCACACAATTGTCTCCAAAACAACAAACACGAGTTTACTGAAATACTGAACTGCGAACCATAAATTATACCATGATTTACTGCTCACGAAGTAACCCGAACCACCATCATTGCTATCATCATCTCTTGCACACTCTTCGACCGCGATGCTCTAATATTGCCCCTGTCCCACACTTGTGCCGAATTAGCACTCAGTTTACGTCTTCTGTAGCGAAATAAGCGCACGTATAACCTAATTTTGGAAAGTCGAGGTGTGTGTTTATGCCAAATTGTTGCATGAATTGATCGGTTGCTAAATTAGTTATGCCCGGCTATTGGAACTGCCAGTGTTGAGCCAAAGGATGAATGAGCAACGGGATACTTTACACCTGCGCCACTGACCAAAACTTTACGAGGTAAGTGCTTGCAATAAGGTGCTGCCTGCTAAATGGATATCAACCAGTGGAAAAGAAACCAATCGGTCAACGACTTATGCGCATGAATGAATCGCATAACTGGACAGTTATCGAGCCAAAAAGACCTGTGCGTAATCACGCGATGCCGTAACACTCAGCGTATGTGTAGATGTGTGACTGTCCGATTATTGAAGATTCTATACATACAACACAGTACAATACAGTACATACCTTTCGGTCGAAGGTTCATATGATCTAGCAACATGTACAATTTTGATATGTTTCAATGGGTCATGCTACGCGGCTACCGTCACCTACACATTGTTGCGTTTGATCCCGCAGGCTGCTGATTGGTTTGTGGCGCTGACGGGTAAATTGGCGATAAAGTTAAGTAGTTGTTTGTGGGAGATAAATAATTCCGTTTCCATAGGTTCCGTATGTGAAAAAATATGCCAATATTGATTGCTACACCGGTTGCGGTAAAAAAATTATTCACGAAAGACTGCTCGCATAACAGATATGCGACTGGAGTACTCATGGTGCGTCAGCTGTGTTCAGCAGTAGACGTAACCCGGGGTTCCCATATCTCAGGGCACATCCCGCGCTGTTGATAGGCTGATTAATGGATGTTCGTTTTATTCTCTACATATCGGATTGTTATATTTCACTTTGACCTTGTTTTTGGGATCTTGTCGCCACATCCTGCTCAATTGAAAGTGCCAACATGCACATTGTGCATACGGGTGAGGACGATCGATCAAAGCATATACTAGACCCAGTTTGATATTTCTCAGTAACCGTAACGTTAAATTGAAAAGGTCTCAGCAGGTCTTGGTTGAAGAGGATAAGCAATAATATCGGTTGCAAAAGTATACCCTTCATTGGAACGGTTAGGAAGTCTATCCTCAAAATAACCTTCCCTCCTCGAGGAAATAACCCACCCCCGTCCCGGGTTTATTTGGTCTCCCAAATGCCTGAATTACTTTCCAAGACTTCATAATAGAAATACCATTTCGACAAATGCACTCGCTTGCATACCGTTTTGGTTTTCAGCTGAATTTCTTGTTTATAAAATTGTTCAGATTTACCGGCTACCTTGTGAGAAGTATGTATCACGTCTAGAAATGTCCTTAGTTATTAAGCCAGTTTGGCCAGTGGAGTATCACTTCAAAGTGATTCTATCATAAGCACAACTGATACACTAACTCGCCATGTTAGTGAACTTCGACAGTGTAGCTCGGGACACGCACACGGGGCCATTTGGTACACGAACGCCATTGAAATGTCGAAAGGTAGAATATGTTTCGTTCCCAATAATCACGATTGTTTTGCTTGTTGTGTAGAAATAAGCCTTCGCACTGACCAACCGTGCTTAGCGGTTTTCATTCAATGTTAAGCTCGATAAAAAGACGATTGTTCTCTAGTGAACAAAATGCTAGAGGCAGACAATAGTTTGTTTGGATTATGGATGCGGTGAATTCACTTTAGAAGCTGTTTAAAACCACTCAAATGTATTTAGAATTTCAATATCTCAATGCATAGTCCACATGATAGAGTCTCTGTTGGTCAGCCTCTCTCTCTCTCAAGAAGTAACACTTCCATCGGCCAGGCCTTCTGGATTCCCTCCAAAAAGGGACAGTAAGTTACCGACCCGCTGGACTCTTTTTGATTAACCACATATAAGACTAACAGAAAGTAGCTTATCAGTGAAGTTGTTACTGATGCACTTGGGATGCATGAGGTATCGGCTGATTGGGTTATTCATCGAAAAACATGTGCTAATGTCTGTGAACTGGACACATTTGTGCAGGTCACTGAGGTCATTAGCTCGAATACAGAAAGCAGTGGCTCCCGAGGCAACTGAAGATGTGCAGAACCACTTTGTAGCACTGCGTTTGGGTTTTAAAGGAAATGGGAATAAACAGCACAAGTTGGAGGAAAATTACCCTCAAGAATCGATAATTTGACATCCATCATGGTCATTGAGGCTGTCTCACTCATAAGTTAGCTCCATTATCTTATCAATGAGACAGTTATTTTTCAAAGTCATTGACGGTAAACATTGTCTGTGTGACTTTAACGTGGAGCCTTGCTTTCAATGTCTCAAACTGAAGCAGAAATCATGTGTGTTGAATGTCTGTGGAATCCATGCAAGGTAGCTGTTTTCGTACGTACGTATGATCACTGCCTGCTTGCTAATCAATTTATCAAAAATATAGGCGGTGTTTATCACTCAGTAATCGCTTAGTAGCTTCACTTGCACGTCCTTGTCGAACGTCCGCGCATCGTCAAAGAAAAATAATAACGTGTTGAGGTGACTGGTCGTAAGTCTCGAGCTCCAAACTATTCCACGGATGTGTTTTTTCCGACCAATTCTTGTGACCTCTTGGCTCCTTCAGGTGTTTTTTTTACTCAGAGAACGGTTCGACCCAGTGAGTTGGCATCCTTTGAAAAAATGGTGGGGCGTTTGCAAGACGTGCTGCACATTTTACTTCATCGTACTTCTAGCTTTGCAACCGTTTACTCTTAACGTTCTCGGGCTGTGTGCAGATGAACAGTACCTCCATCCCTTCGGATGTATTCTGTCGGTCAGGGTACAATTACTGAGTATTTACCGACATTCGGGATTCGCCCACTATCAATGTTCAAAGTATAGGCCTTTGAGTGTGAAAATACGAAAATACGGGTTCGATGGCAGACCAGTTGTACTGCAAGGGACCAAACATGGATCAAACTCCGTGCACCTTTGAGTTGTCGTGGGAGAGAGAGAATGTTGTTTGAAAATGTTTGTGGGCGTTTCCTGGAAATGCTGTGCTGTGTTGTTGCGTTGCGGCCAGTGCGGAATTCACTCTGTTCTTCTGAGTGATCTCGTGCCAACAGCAAAACTCAGCCGACGAATATCCCCGCAGTGTTGGTTAGTTCCCTTTTCCTTATAATTCAGCACGTTTAGAGCACGTTTTGACAACCTTTGAAGTTTCCTCCTGTAGTATGATGATCAGTTGATGCAGTTCGTTCTTCTAGGTCAGGCGACCATTGCTGAAAGATTCCGCTCCTAGCTTGTCTATTCCAGTTGGGCGTGACGTGAACGACGTTATCTTGAGTCCCATACTGTCAACTTGATTAAGATTTCTGCATGGTATGAAGCCTGAACTTTGTAGTATCACAGCCAGTTTTCAAATCATATTCCTTATAATTCAGCACGTTTAGAGCACGTTTTGACAACCTTTGAAGTTTCCTCCTGTAGTATGATGATCAGTTGATGCAGTTCGTTCTTCTAGGTCAGGCGACCATTGCTGAAAGATTCCGCTCCTAGCTTGTCTATTCCAGTTGGGCGTGACGTGAACGACGTTATCTTGAGTCCCATACTGTCAATTTGATCAAGATTTCTGCATGGTATGAAGCCTGAACTTTATAGTATCGACAGCCAGTTTCAAATCATATTCCATTTCTGAAAATCATTTGTAGCTTTTCGCATTCGTTGACGGAGCATATCACGAATCATTACTGATGTTCACCACTTCTTCAGAGACCTGGCTACTGATGTACTTTGAACGAGATGAGATATTCGAAAACACACGACGATATACTAGAGTTTATCCACACTGCCCACCCCAGTGCGACTCAGGTTGCGATGGAAAGACCTCTAATCTACTCACTATGGTGTATCGTTGGTTCATCCTGGATTAACTGCGTTCAGTTGTCCAGGCAGCAACTGTTTCGAAGTTTGCATACATTTTTAGAAAACATTCTCTGTTCAACTCGAAACCGACGTACCGCGTGATTACTCATCTCTGCAGAGCTGGACTCTGGTGGAAGAACAAAATTACGGATCACAAAATTGAATTATCCTTGAAACCTGTGATATATTCAGAGAAGAGGCCTCTCTCATCCTGATTGAGATATGTACTCATCCAGACTGGAAGAGTCATGCAAGATGGTCCTGTGAGACAAACTATCACACCGCTTGGATTCGTGATTTACGCAACTTAGGATTGCAGTGCTGATCAATGTATGTCTCTAGTACGTTGTTTCACAATGATTCCGTTACCTGTTACCTCCTTTCTCCTCCCCCTACACAGGTATCTAGGCGAAGTTGTTTGGAGGTACCAGTCACCGGTCCACTGGTATGCTTTCTGCAAGAATTAGGCTTTGAGCCGGAATTCACCTATGTTGCGGAGGGTCTCATATTTATACGGGGTCGCGTCAAGGTCTGTGTGTACACCGTGAATGAAGTGGTGCAGTTTGAATCCCCCGTTCCGTCGATGCCCGGAACGGATGGAATCTCAGGGCAGGTAGGTTTGCGCGATGTTGCTCACCTTATCGTGTGTTTCGTCCTGCTAACTTTATAGAACTGTGCTGTCGGCGTCACGGTCAGTTTGGTATTCTTTGGTTTGCTCTACCGCACAAGAAAGCTTACTGTTCAATTGTCTGTAAAGAAGGTGTGTTTGTTCTGTTTGAAAAGATTCGCTAGCAAAGTACAAATGAGGAACATAGTTTCGGTAGTATCTTAGAAATTCCGGATGACCGTTTTCAAAAATTTGGGAATGTGCCAACTGCTTCCCTAAGTTTTCTTGCATAGAACAAAGTCACTCACAACATGATTTCCAGGTATGGGGCTTTAATAAGTTCGAATTTCACTGACTCACTTGTATCCAGCTTCCCGACTCGATTATCCATGTCCCCACGAACTTCTAGTCATTTGAAACTGTTAGTGGTGATGATGAACAACAAAAGCAGTATTAAAGGTGAAGACCAACGCTCGAATCCGAGTCACAATGAGTGAAGCGATGGAAACATACATACGTCCAGAGCCAAACACTTCAGATCTAACCCAAGTTGAAGTGTTGACTAACTGTCAGTTTCATGAGGATTAGTGTAAACCGGCAGTATTGCCGCAGTATTGTTCACTGAGATAACACCCAAGTAATAGGTCATCGCAACTAGTCTCTGGGTCGTATGCTCACAGTGGTGAACTGCTGCACAAGGTTGACCGAGTGGTCCTTGACATACGTCGTTAGCCAAAAGAGCTTCAGTCGTGGTGTGAACATCGATCCGTACACGAAAGAAAGTGGCTCGAATACTTCCGCACTCTAACGACCCTAATATTGATTGACCCAACTGAACCTGGATTTCGTCGGTGATGACGCCTGAAAAGATTGGTTCTGTGGCCCCTTTCCGTTGGCCTTCAACCAGGGAGGCGGTTTTGTCAGGAAAACTACTTATTGCGTGATAACTACAATTTGGTATCTCTCCCTCAGCGATCAAGAATGAAACCAATTTTCATTATAAACCTCCAGGATTTTCATCAATGATAGCTGCCGTTTTCATTGTAACGTGAGGTCTTTCCAACACCAGTCTCATGACTGTTGCTCGTTTACCTGGACAATCCACTATTGCTTTCGTCCTTCTAAGGGTTCACCACATAGACCTAGTCCCCGACTTCGCAACTGTACATTCTTTTACTTTTGAGGTCATTCCGCCCTCCGAGGAATGGGCATCGATCAAGTCTTCAAGCACATTCCCAGATAACTGCACCCAAATGGTGCATTGTCAACATTGTGTGTCACCATGGATTTCATCCTCTCCATCCCACATTGCGTTTTCCCTCGTCCTTTTTCCTCTCCTACCATTGTGACCGTGACCATCTCCCATTAAATGGCTCTCTTTCATTTCACACTTCATAACAGCCTTTCTTTATGTTCTACTTTAGCTTCACAAATTACTCTACTCTTCAGGATTCCTACCCAAAAGAATGGCGTCGTGTGTGCCCAAACAGCTGGCTGGTGGAAATTAGTGCCGTTGGCAGTCCGGCAGACGAGAGCCTTCAGGATGAAGTTGCTGAATTTGCCGATCTCTTGTTTCCCGTAATTGTTCCAGGTAAACTCGATAACTCCTTATTCATGAGGAAGTAGTGATCCCGTTTGAACTCTGCCTTTCTGTAAATACCTGCATTGCTCACTTCGCGTCCTGTATAAATGTAAGTAATGTGCAATTAAACTATTGTGGTCCAGTGTTTTCCCGAATACAACAATGCTCTTGAAAGCATGCCATCACAACGAAGGGCGGTTTCGGCCCTTTTTTAGGACGAGTACTTGCAAAAATTATTTTTATAAACACCGTGAATTCTGAAAACCCTGCAATCACCTATAACTAGTCAAAAACTCTCCAGCAGTTTCCAAGTATCCATAGAACTACCAGACTGGGAATTCCCATAAGTGTGGGTTAGTCGATTGACACAACCTGGATAGTTACTGTTTGCTCAATCGAGAACACGCTCACTAGTTCAGACGTGGTGATTCAGCTGATTGATTTACTGAAGCACCTTAGAATCACTTTACTTTTTTCCTGGTAAAAGCGATATCAAAAACGGATGTCGGCTGGTGACCTATCTCCAGGATCAACATTTTCGGTAGATTTTTTCCTACACTGGCAGACAACAGTTGTAACTAAAACAGGCCTCGGCGTGAAAAATCGTTTCAGCAACATTCGGAGGATTGTTCTGTTATGGTAAGCGATGACAGATGCCCGTAGCGTCCCCATCATTTTCGGCAGCGATACGTAATTAATAATTACGGGTGCTTTGATCTAAATAAGAACTTATAAGTTTATTCATACCGTAGAGCTCTCGTCGTTAATAAATTCTCCGGAATATACGACCCCAACCTTTTCGACCACTAGTTCTTCCCTATAACGTTTTCTCCCCACTTGTCAGATATTCGGCATAGGATATGGAGCGTATTAGGGAGGCGAGATGGCTCAAGTGGTTAGATTGCGAATTTACTGACCGCAAAGTCCGTGGTTCGAACCCAACCTCTGCCTCTCGTCTTCCCCTGTCTAGGCTTGAGCAACCTGGTAGTATCCCAGCCCTCGTGGTTCCTTTGGAAGGCATGGAAGCTAGGCACTGGAAGGGTGTTACACCTGAACGAACGTTATGGAGCATATTTATAAGCAAGTCCCCTTGCGTGCCTTTGTGATATTTTGCCTACAGATCTACCTTAGAAAGAAGGACAGGTACAGATGTGTTTCTTCTACTGGGACCTTAATCGATTTAGCTGTTGGTGACTGTTCAGTTTCCTGCACGGTCCGGATTGGTATCTGTTCTCCATGCCACATAGCCGTTTTAGCATTTTCGGGTTTCTTGACGCTGAACAACCGGACGGAAATATTTTCCAATGGTGGATTTCGCACTCTCCTAATTTTGTTGCATCCGTCTCCATAAACCTATTGAATAAATACAGGTCAGTTTGCTACTGAGATTAGTCGGTGCCACTTTCACATACAACCTTAGTCACGTGATCCTTTAGGCTTAGAACCGAATACGTGTGGCAACTTTTCTTACGAAATATGGACTTCTTTGGTCAATCTGTGTAACTCCTACATGCACCTCTGTCGGTTTCTTACTCTGCACATTATGGTTTATCAAAAGGCACGGTAACCAGATAGCTCCATATGGAGAAAAAGGAATAATAATAAACCGTATTTATGGGGTCATCACAGAGTATTCCGCAAGGTCGCGCTAGAATCTCTGTGAGGGGGGTGGCGAGAAGCGTCGAGCCAAAAATGCTCGATCCGGATTGGCTGACATTCTGACCAATCAGGACAAGCTATGGTGTGGTCCGTGCTCCACACGTGACATCCGTCCCATTGACGTGGTGTTCGGGGCGGCTGACCTCCGGACGGAACCAGTTCCGGTATTGCAAACCGAACGATCTAAAGCTTTTAGTGAATTACATCTAGAGTTAGGACGTACATCGAATCTTTGGTTGTCTTCATGAAATTTTGTAAATGAACCTCATACCCCTGGTGGAGGTGCAGAGTGAGACGGTGAGATCCAAAATGATACCAGATGCCAAAGCCAATTAAGTCACCGTTTGGATGAATGTACGGTTTTCTTTGACCACATTCGAGTTAAAAACATTCGATACTTCGACATTCCTATCCAATGCTGGTAAAAAAGCGCATCGAAAAATCAATGCTACTACGTGCGACTACACTCTAACCTAAAAAATACCACAGCGATCAGTTCGAAAGTAGTATGTGGGACGTAGTGATCTTGAGCTCCGGAGAGAAAATTTTGAGCTGTTTTAGAGTACCAGTCCTGCGTGGCTTACTTTTGATATGACTGACGATTGTTTTCAGGAGGATCGAAGCCGATTATTCCAAGCAAAGTTTGTTGAGTTATGGATTATTTTTCACCGAGTTTTAGATCGATCCGTGGAATAACAAACACTGAATGGAAGAAAATCAGTTGAATCCAATGCTAAGAAAATTCTGATGGTGTGTCTGCGACAAACCGACAAGTGCATTTTGTACCGCTATCAGGCCTCAAGAATGGGCTGAAAGTACATGCTTGAGGCGAGATGGCTCACGTTACTAGAGCGCGAATTTACTGGTCGGAAGGTCCGTGGTTCGAACCCAACCTCTGCCTCTCGACTTCCCTTGTCTAGGCTTTGGCAACCTGGCAGTATCCCAACCCCCGTGCTTCCTTCGGGTGGCATGGCAGGTAGGCACCGGAAGGATATTACAGCTGAACTTTTTCTAAGGGCTGAAAGTGGAGCGGATGAAACTGCGATCGACCAGTACAGGAGCTGGTGCTTCTATATTATCAATACATCCAGACGTTAAAGTTACTAAAGACGGTACTATATGTGGCGTCTTCTCAAGCCAACTGCTATTTGGTTTTGTTTCGCATATCAAGTCAAAATGCAGCAAAATACACCACCGGAATTGTGAGCTGAATGTAAATACTGTTGACCATGTGCATCTTCAAATCCGAAGCTCATAGCCTTGGTAGTCATCAGGTCCTTCAAAAGGACCGTGAGAAATTGCCATAACTAAATGGTCTGTCAGTTTTTTAAAAAAAAACTTTGCATGGCATAAAACAGGGAGTCACTTTACGCCTATGAGCACTTTTTCAGTTTAGGTTCTTAGCGGGAAACCCCAGCAAAATTACGCTGTTTCCATCGCTTATGACGTTCANTCCAAGTTTATACGCTGTTTCCATCGCTTATGACGTTCATCAGTGAGGCCGCCTTATTGTTCAATATACCGAAGTGCTTTCTTTCCTAGGCACCATTCATGCTGATTGAAACTCGTAAGCGCCAATTTCCGGCTTCGTCCGTTTCGGGGTTGATCAATTAAGCCTCGTCCCAGAGTTTCTCAATCCCATTTCTGTGTGAACGTCGAATTGAACGTGCTTCGACAAACGCTTACTTGCAAATTAACGGTGGACTCAGCCGACAATGTGGAAGCATCGGTGGATCAGGTTCGTTAATCGGTTGTAGCCCAGGTGGCTAATGATCTGTTCGCGATGTGCCAGCAAGTCTCGCCACCGATCGTGGTGTCGTCAGTGCGCCCACGTCTATAGAATTTGTAAAGTAGTGATAATTCATGACATGGCTGGCTGGCTGAGGAACAGCTTTACCGTAATTGCATTGGCCTATTTGTGGTAGAGCTGTCCCACAACCAGCTAATCGCGTCAAGAGTTATCAGCCACCCTTTTTAATAAAATATACGAACGCAAGATGGGGAATTACCCACCCAACCGCGTACTGTCTCCGCGACTGGTGACAAAATGTCTGCAGTTGAATTGCGCGGCTCGGCGGACAGATCAACAGCCACCTGATCTACAGCTAAGCAATCCATATGTACTTGTTTATACTACCGTCCAATTTAACTGCTTGCTCGGCCATCCTCTAAATTCCGTCATGTTCTGAACTTAGAACATCGATAGCATATGGCTAGCCTACTTCTCGAAGGTGAATTCAAAACAAAGGGATCGACTGTCATCTAGCTGACGAACCAAGCTGGCAGCTCGGCACGTTGATTTTGGATTCAGTAATAAATACGTTCCAAACGAGCTTTCTTCTTGTAAGTGCAGTCAGTCTATGCCGAAAAACGGATCACTGTGCAGTTGCCACATCTCTATCGGGAGTCATCGGTAGTACGAATCTTACGGGTCCTCAAGAGAACATGAACTTCCACTTAACGAACGCATTATGCTAGGATGAATTCAATTATTTGATGCTTGATGACATTCGAGATCAGAGTAGCTGATTTTCAAATACCTGAATTAGGACTTGTACCATGGTTACTCTCAGGATTAATTGCGACCGACTGAGGCAGCCGTTCAATTTGCCCTGGTGCAACCACCACTGTTTCTGTACACCAAAGGGGCTGTAGCGGCGGTTCATCCACCGGATTGACCGTCCACTCACCTGGTACGCATGGCGAGCGCAAATTAATACTCTGACAGACTCCCCGAGGACGGTGAGCACAATGTAGGCGTCTTATCTGCATTAGAGATGTCACATGCGTATTGTAAAATACTATGCAAAATAGGTGAGCCGGATCACCACTTTTTAGAGACAGCAGATTCATAGAAGCTGGAGTTGATGTCCATTCCGATTAAACTTTGGTCACACTTCGCACGATCGTTTGTAGATGCTGTGCGCTGCCAAATCATATAGAACTAGTTACGAAGACAACAGCATAAGCTGTAGTTTTCGAAGTTCACATTTCCACCAATCTCCTTCGTCTTTCGATGAAAACAAGTGACTAAGAAATTCGTGACTGAAGCAGACGGGGATCACTGACGCAAATACCTTCGGGCACAGCTGTCCCGCATGGCGTCACGAAACTCCGATTATTTGGTTTGCCAAAAGTCCTTCAACCTACCGCTAAGGCTCATGATGCTTTTTTGATAAGATTACGGACGGAAACAAAGTGAAACAACATGCAGGTGTACACTATACCAGACTTTGTACGAGCGGATTCAGTTTCCGAGAATGTTGTAGACCACTACCTAAATGTACGCAAAACAGATATTCTCCATATTCAAGATTAGCTTCGGCTGGAGCAACCACTACGCCAGCAGTGGTGCACGGTCATAGTGGGACTCCTTTCGCGCTCAGCTTTCACAGGGCCAACTCAGATGAGAACACGTTAGATACGGCGTGTACGGTCAGATATAGAAAAACACAGAAAACGTTAGTAAGAAGGGCAAGCAAATGAGCAACACCGAAATCGGTGGAAAGGCCTCAGGGTACAAGAGTAGGAGGTACACAATAAAAGACGTCGTACAAGCAGTCGATGAAGAAATGAATATTTATTAAGACGGGTCCATGGGGTCGCGATGAGAGAAATGGGGGAAGAAACGTTTTCTCGCTGACATGACCAGGTTGCGGTGAGGGGACTTGCGAAGCTGGAGCGACGTCGCACTTTGGGTCGGCAATGGTTCGGGACGTGTAAAAATGGGGCTAAAGTAGGTGGTGTGGCCGTCGTCGATAGGTTCTGAATCCTGTTCATCCGGTTGCCTTGTCACAATGGCGGAGTAGATATGTTCCGGAACGCTAAAGAGTAGGCGCAATACCTGAGAAACACAAGGAAAAGGCGAATATAGATGTTAAACAGTAAAGGAAGTAGATGCCAGAGGAGCTAACGAGACTTAAAAGATGCCAAAATGCAAAAGTAAGTCGACCGCACAACATTTGTAGGCTCATTACCAAAGACACGTGATTCGGTTGAAAAGTATCCGACACGGTGACATCCTGCACAACCTGTCTCCGTGATCGGTAATCCGAAAGAGAATCTGCAGGAAACTAGTATACAAACCGTTGACATCTTTAGTCGCCAGGCCTGTATGGAAACTTTCACTTCTAAAAGTAGGGTTTGCAGTGCTTCATCAGTGCTGGACCCGGAATACTCTGAAAAAGGTAACCAAGCCCTATCAGTGGAATCATGTGTGCCTAGTAAAACTTGGGTACAGTTGCTCTCAACTGCAGAAAACACCTCTAGGTGGTCCTTTGAGAATCGTTCTAACAGGAACGATCTGTAGCGACCCAGTCACCCATATACTTGACTGTTCAACTCAATCGCTCACTGGATCGCGAGGCTTGTCTATTTTCTCATACGCACAAACACGTCGCACTAAGCTGACACACCGGACATCGATTGTCTGCACTGCCTAGTCAGCGTAGCAACCACTCATGTGCCGACGCGCCCACATACACGCACTGGGATCTACATAAAGTCAAACCGAACCCAGTCGAAACACACAGACTCGCGCGCGCGCAGGGAGCAGGACGTCAACCTCTCCACAAGTCCACGGACAATCATGGAACACGTGTAGCAGCCAAACTGCGGAGAAAACACGTTACCACCGTTCGGACTTTCACCAAGGGACTCTCACATACGATAAGTTCCTTTTTGACTTGCTCCCATTTCACATTGTATTTATTTTATACGTGTCGCAACTATGTTAAAAACTTCTATTAGTGCACATTCACCTTCTGATTTGTATTATGACTATCGTCACCTGTGCACTAATAGACCCTCCAGAACGAGACCACTTTAGATCGTGCTGCACACTTGTCCGCAGCACTACTGTACCTGCGTTCCGAAGAGACTGGACATTACCATAGTGTGATGGTTTGTGCACCTCGGTGACTGGGGGTATCCGTGCGGCCATCGCTCTCTAATACCAGGTTGGTCTGACGAACAGTCTTAAGGTCCTCTAGGTTGGAGGTTAGAACGTGCGACAACCTCTTCTGTGAAAATGTCAATGTACTTGCATTTCGGCCAAATACCGCTGCCTTGCAGTCAGGCTTTTAAGCCAAAGACTTTGGTTGACGATCCTAATCGTCCTCCTGTCTAGGTTTGGGCACCCTAACAGTATCCCAGTCCACATAAAAGCATCAGTGTTGGACAGTGATGTGCTGCCCATGGTGACGTCATCGTGAATCCCAGTGAGATCGTTGAAAACAGGAGCATTCCTCAAATCGAGAAGGCTAGGGCAACTGTTGCCAAATATCGATACATTTGAAACTCGCGTGAAGCAAGGCACGCACTGCAGTAGAGTAATAAGTACTCTCCTAGGAATTGCGGACGCGGTCTGAGCTATCTGAAGGCACATGAAAATCTCTAGTGTCTGACCAGTTGTGTCTCCGGAGCATCCCCCGGATGAAGTCGGGATATCAGATTAGCAATGTTGAGGTAAGCTAAACAGTCTATGAAAGGAATTCTGTTGTGATGAACGAACTAATCACTTCATAGGTTGATTACGACATGTACGTCGAAGAAACGGCCAACAGCTGGACAGTCTATGGACTATGACAACCGCCGCTACTTTGGGGGATGCCAGGACTCGATTTAACAACGGTTAAAGGAATTGACAGACTCCGCTCAGCCACGCAGTTAATGGTGCATCTGCATATGAATGCGTGGTTATAGAACTTAGTCGTCAAGCAACTAGAGGATAAAGTAACCGGCTAAGCCAGTGCTTCCAGTGACTGTCCGTCCCATCCCTATCCTCATTTTCGACACGCGAAACTGTAGCATTTTAAACGTAGTTTACAGCAGAGTAACTGAAATGACTTAGAAAACTTAGATGTACCTAAGGTGACCGAACGTATGGACAACGAATAGAACTCACCGCCTGTTGTGTCCTCGTCTCGGTGACAGTTTGCATTAGCTGGGGTTCAGGACACGAATAACCAACCAAAGTGGGTCCGAATACCTTGGCCAGATTTTCCTCGCCCATTTGACAATCAGGAACTTGCGCGATGCTCTGATCCAAGACGGTTGAGATAAATGGAAGGGTAGAATGAGGTAGCGGTATAAAATTCGACTGGAAGCACTTGGCATATTTGTTCAATCCTGAGGCTGATCACTATGTTATTACATACTAATCAGCACAATCCAATGGCGTCGAACATCGGGTAACGATGCAACATTCCTGGATTGAGTCAGACCTAATTGCACTGCGGAGAAAATGCGGCGTTTTCGAACATGATGGCCACCTGAAGGATTGCCATGAAACTACTTCTTCCTTCTTCTCAGTAGCCTGTGTCCGAGTGAATTGGTCATAGAAGACATTGCCCGGTAGGGTTTGTTTCGGAAACCCTTTTTGTGTAGTTCCTCAGGAGTGTGAATGTTTATTGTCTCGTGAAAATGTCTTCACTGAACCAAGCTCCTCAGCCACTGGTGCAAGTTTACTTAGCACTGAGAACTGTCCTACAAAAATTGTGCGGGTGTGTTATTTGGAAGCCCTTTCAGAATAACGTCTAAGGAAGCTTTTTGGCTTGAATATTACGAATAAGATTAAAAGAATGGTGAAATATTCTTGGGTTGCAGAAAACCTTCTTGCAGTACTGAGCACACCTGCTTTTGAGGCTGAGAGGTCTGAGACTGCCTCAAGGCCCAAGGGATTCCTAAGGACAACGTCGTCCGACCCGATAACAGACAGTATCTTCGAAATTGAAATGAATATTCTCCGTAAAGTGAGTATAATATGATCTCCGTTGAGTCGATTTGGTCACATAAAAGTCAAGATACTGATAATCCTACTAGAAGATGCCATCCATAGATGTAAGAGCAACACGGGTTAGATTGGTGTAGACGAAATAAACTGGAATTTTTTTACCAGCATTGGTATAAAATATTTCGACATTGATAAGGCACATCATAACACGTTGAATACGGCGAAGACAATATTCATCCTGGTAACGAAAAAATCGTTCAGCTGTAGCATCCTTTCGGTGCCTACTTGCAATGCCGCCCGAAGGGAGCACGAGGTTTAGGATATTAAAAGGTTGCCCAAGCCTAGACAGGGGAGGTCGAGAGGCAGAGTTCGGGTTCGAACCACGGACCTTCCGGTCAGTATATTCGAACTCTAACCACGTGATCCATCTCGCCCTCCCCCCTAGTAGGGAAAATTATGTGGCACATTAACTTTCACGAGTTCTCTGCCCCAAAGACGCCCGGACAGCATACTAATCTGCACCACCTAACGTGAAACAATTATTCATCTCTCAGGCCATGCACCAGTGAGTGGTTAATGGGGCTCACAGCACGATTGTCGAGGGTCAGAAACATGTGCACTGCTGATGAACTGCAGAAATAAGTCCCTGAAATGAACTCTACTAAAAAGTAGCTATCCGAAACGGTTGAAGTGAATACACAGTCCAAAGAGAAGGGACATCTTTGGGATTACCGTGCAAAAATCAGACAGAAAAGTCACACGGGATTGTGATTTACCGGCCGCGAAACTACGACTGAGACTCCGTGAAATCTTGGTTCGATGAATCGAGCGTTGCACTACAACATGACAATTAGTTCACTGACAGATGTGGCGACACTCACATAATTACCTTAAGTGACATCAAATTCCTCCAGGAAAAGGGTCGGTCGACACCAAGAATCAACATCAGTGTTGGCACTAGTATTTCGCTGCCGTACCAAGAATATCCCAAATCGTTGTCATACATGAAGTGCAATCAGCAACAAAGTTCATGGACAGAGTCATCGACCTCTACTCAGTCGCTTGATGCCGTAGACCGCAGAGACCCGATGATTCATCACCACATTAGTAGAGTAGATTTTCACCTCTTAAAATGCTGACTACGTGCCAGAATATCTTAGGCGTGCCATCATTTCGTTATCAGTTTACAGTCAGGAATCCAGCATTACTGTTCAGTAGCCACCTTAACCAGTGACGTCTAACCTCTCAGTTGGCCACCCTTCAGTTAAGCAACGTGTCTTCAGCCAGTTTTAACCTATGGCTTCCCCGGCTGACCACTTCGACTGTATGTTACCACTTCACTGTAGATCATCACAATATGCTCTAGAACCGTTCGCATAACGCCACCATCCGATATGAGCATATGTTACGGACTAGTGTTGTCGACATAGGGACTCGTAGGCAGCACGACTTATCGTCATTGTAGGGTAGGTAAAATCACTCCGGATCTCACGTTGCTCGCGGAACAACGTTGTGTGACTTCTTGATAAGAAACGGGGTTTTCGCATCCATTTTGAAGGTGCTTTATGCGCACGTCTGAGCAACTGTGAATGTGTGGTGAATTATAACCCATATTTCGCTGTTTCAAGTAGGATGCACCAAGGCTGCCTAAAACCCGCGTTTCTATTGGACTTCCTTCGTAAATGGCATAAAGGATCTGTCTCACACTTTCACCTGCAGCAGTGGAGAAGCCAGATTGTGACCTAGCTACCAGGACGACGAACCGGTGATTGTATCAGTGTGATTGTGAAAAATGGGCACAATTGGTTTATGAGACGCCAGCCTCCGTCCATCGTACATTCATTGCAGGGAACAAAGCACACTGTAGTCTGTTATCCAACAGTTCACTCAGAGTTATGGTCACAAGATAGCCGAACACATTCCAGATGGCTCAAGTGGTTAGAGTGCAAATTTACTGACCGGAAAGTCCGTGGTTCGAACCCGACCTCTGCCTCTCAACTTCTGTCTAGGTTTAGGCAACCTGGCAGTGTCCTAGCCCTCACGCTTCCTTCGGGTGGCATGGCAGCTAAACACCGAAAGGGTTACAGCATCATGAAACCGAACAGGCAGGGACCACCGGGATATAGAGCTTTCACCTGGGATCAAGCCTTGTCGACTGTGAAACATTCGCTTACTAAAAGCCACTTCCAGTTCATCTGTCAGCTATCCAGGATTATGATCAACAATCAAGCTTTCCTGAGGCTGGCGTTCGGTGAAGCGATGATGGTGATAACGATGAGGTGATGTGTTGAGTAACATCGGTCTCAAGATAGCTCAGTGGTTAAGGCGCCAAGTTCCTGACGGGAAGGTCCGTGGCTCCAACCCAACACCAGCATCTCGACTAACCCCGTCTAGGCTTAGGCGACCTGGCGGTATCTCACCCGGCGTGCCTCCTTCCGTTAGTACGGCACTAAGCACCGAAAAGGTGTTACAGCTGAACGACACATCTGCCTATCTTGGCATTAGCCTTGGGCCACGTTTGTCCCTTTTTTATACGACTTACATGTTTGAGACGAAACTTCCAAGTGGCAGTGGTGTTAGCGAGAAACACCCGTTTAGAATACTCTCCAATATTACTTGTAATGTGGTTTGCAAACGTGATTCCATCAATTCCACATAAGTTTGTAGAAAATAAGGTCGATAAAAGCTTTGGGACTGTACCCGCTTGATGAACCTCGATAAAGGAGAAGTTTACAGCAGTTTTCCAGTAGTGTCCCATCAAGAAGATATACATGCTATTTTCCTCTGGAGTTTCATATCTGTGGGTTTTAGGTTTGTGGCTAATAAAAGTAAAAGGAATTTTGAAATCTCATAAACTGCATCGTTTCGCAGAATTGGACTGAGTTTTTCATTGAAAAATTTATTATGTGGTCATAGATTGACAGATCTAGTTTCCTTCTTGGTGGGGAGAATTCAAAACAGTCCAGAAAGGACCAGGAAGACCCTTCAGCATTGTTGATCTGAGCGGTGAAATAAGCAACCGCATTTCCAAAGGTTGAACGACTATTGTCGATAAAATATATGTTTATAATAATTTTATATGATGTGGAATATGGGTCCAGTGAGTCGAACACAATAAGGGAACGTTTTTTACTATCGGTCGTGTATGGTTATATATATATATATATATATATATAGCTCGTTAATCAAGTGCACCGAGTGTTGAAAACAATGTCGTATCGCGTTAGAAGTTTCAAAGCTATACGAAGCAGCAAAATACAACCAGGAAAATTATACAACCAACCTTGAGGTGCAGCATAATGTAGGATAGAGTATCCCGATTCGGTGCCGGCAATGCATCCAATACATTGATGACATGCTGAACTGCGTCAGGATCCCCAAGCCGAGCACCTTCACTTACTGCAGCAAGCACTGAACGTTGCTCGTAAGTGACAAGCGGTTCTGTCAGACTGCGCAAAAACATCTTCAAACAACCACAGACGACGTGAATGTCCTCCACTCGTGCCAGAACCGGAGGGACTTTCCCAAAGAATTTCTCATATAATTCTGATAACGGTAGAGAGGATGAAACAGGTGATTACTGATATCCAACCCTAGAGAAGGTTAGTAAACAGTGTTGTGCCAAATAGCCGAGCAGATCAATCACGGCAACTCTCAAATATTCAGCTGCTTGCCGCATTCGAATCAATCGATACAGTCGCACAATTTAATTCAACAAAATCCCCTTTGTCCATATTGACTCAAAGACTGCGCCCACTGCGCTTCGAATCCTCAGCATCATCATTAGTGTTCAACATTGATGTTCGGCTACCGTAAAACCATAATTTATTTGAAAACCTTATTGCGGAGACACATGGAGCAAGTACTCAAGTTTGCGCCGTGCCACGAGTGGCACTCGCTCCGGGGATTGTTGTGTCCCCAATAATGGACAGAAATGGGGATGTCCGTAAGTACGGGACATTCTTTCATGATAGGTTGTGTGCATATGTTCAAATGCAGGTTTAATTGGTGATATAGCGCAAACCTATGAAATCTACTGAACTTCAAGTAAGCAAGCGGATGGTTGCGACTCGATGACTTAATCGATCGATATGAGCGGAATAACAGCTCGGTCGTGTCAAATGAAGGAAGACGCATGTAAAATCGCTATAAATAGAAGAGAAATTTGCATCCGTGGAGATGCAAAAATAAGTACATACAGTGCAAACTGAATCGGTCGTCCAGAAACAACATGCTGATCAATATTCTTGGTTCCAAGAAAACAAACGGCTTTAAGCCAAGAATTTGCCTCCTAACACGAAATGACGGCCACGAACAGCGGTATACAATCAGACATGTGTATATGACCGTCGGGAGTGTACAGCAAGCGCTCCGAGATACTATATTTGCAACACCCAAGGATGGGGGATACTTCTCATGAAATAATAAATGAAACCGATGCTGAATGGTCAGAAAAAATGTTACCTAAAACACCGGTGACGTCACCTTAATTGGCGACGAAAGGTTGGCAAGTTACGTGCCAAGCTCGGCGACAGATCAGCCTAGACAGGTACTAGTAAATGGTGGTGATAGATAGCGAAAGTTCATGAGATGGAGAAAACTTTCTGGACAGGCAACGCGATGATTATAGTTAGCTCATACAACCGGTCAAACGGTGTCCCAACAGCCAAATGCGCCCTCGAACCCATTCGTTGCAAAAGCAAAGCGAGGAAATCACAATCTTACGCTCAGTCCACTCGTTATATCAACTGGAATAGTGAAGACTGGGCGTACCGCTATAACACTCACTCAATAACCGAAACAAATCTGTTGACTGAATCTCTCACATATAACCACACAATGGTACCAGGCTTGTGTAGCTAAGTAGCACACTTACGCACGGATATGCTTCAGCAGCAGGATGATGGGTTACAGTGAGCTCCCAGGTGATGGCGATCGCAGTGTGACGACATTTAGTTGAGTTCAGTTTAATAGCTATAAGCCGTTTACAGCTGCCCAGGTGAATTAATTAACGTGTCACGTCGACTGGCTGGTCTCCAAGCATAAGTGTTAGGTTTGATTCCACCCAGTCTTGTATCAGCACTTTACACTACAGATGCGAAGCGCTCACCAAACCGGACAGCAGGATTATTTGGCTTATTTAAAATGACTTGCATCATCGAATGATCTGAACTAAGAACAGCAACATCATTGGCACGCTCGGTGTCAGCGAACGCCCGGGGATCACTTTCGACCCCTTAGGTTTCAGAGTAGAGCAAAGAACTTCTCAGCAGCGCGTCACATATATATAT